TGAATATGTATTCTTGAAAAACTCAATAACTTTGCAATTCCTCTCCTTTCCCAAGTCCTTTGGGAATATTTGAGCAACGCAGTTTACTTCTGAGACCGTCCTAGTAAGTTCAGTCCATTGTAAAGGCTGTCCTGCTTTTTTCTCTGCTTAGTTCTGGCAATTACCCTGGGTAGTACTGCATCATATTCTGGCAACTTCCATAGCCTTTACCTTGTAGGAGAGTGGAAGAGGATTATCGGTATGCCATTCCCATCATTACTCCTAACTTCTTCAAATTCACCTTGGTGTTTGCTACCTGGAATTTTTTCTGGTATTGTGGTCAATTTAGTGGTGAGGTATATACTTGTGTTAACATTTCACTGGTTTAGTTCTTGATTTTTCTAGAGCCCTTTGGTGAACACTCTCTTGTCCTGTTCTCTTCTCTTCACTATGATGACCTTACTGGTTGGTTATAAAATTTTTACTGCCACTTCGAATCAAGTAAATCCTTTTGACTGGTTCATCCCCCGTGAAGGGAAGGGTGTGAAGTACTCTGAGTTCCCTTAGAGAGAAAACTGAGACTCTCAGGGACTTTGCTTCTCTGAGTCCTTTTTCAGCCCTTGTCTCTAAAGACCCTTTTGTGAACAGAAAGGGGAACAAAAACGTTTAAATGGCTCTTGGGGGAGAAAGGAAAAAAAAGTGAATAATCTCTATTCTATAAGCAGAGCTGATTTGGTGAGAATTAATAGGCTTTGGCTGCAGCAAAACCGATTCAGATGAGGAGTTAGAAAATCCTTTCTGGTGTTGAGGAGAAGGCAGCCCTGGAGTGGGTGAGGAGTCTCCCTTTTTGGAGGTCTCGAAAACAGGTTGAGCGAGTGTCTCTGAGGAATGTTTTAGGTCTGGCTGATCCTGCCTTCGGGCAGCAAAGTGGACTAGATGACCTCTCAGGGTCACCTTTTCTTTTTCTTACTGTTTTATAAATGAAGTCCCCCAAGTGAGAATCGAGCACCTCTCTGCCTGGCTTTCCCCAGGGTCTCTCTACATCCCCCGCGTTTCTGCAGGAGAGCTCCTGGCTGCTCGCCCCAGCTTGGGAATGGTGGCACAATGGGAGGGATGGGCTGGTGGGAAGATGGTGGGAGTAAAGTGGGAAAGATAGCAAGGAATAGTTAGAAAAGAGAAATTCAGTATTTTAGGAGAGGTGGTGTGGATGGAAAAGATAGAAAAGGAGATGCTATAGAGTAAGGAAACAGGAAAAAAAAAGAAGTGGTAGCAAGCAAATAGGGACATGGATGAGCTCTGCATCCTCTTGAAGGGGTGACAGGAGGGGCAGAGTGACAAGGCCAGCGGGTTCACAGGTCTCGCCGACAGAGTGCCGGGGCGTGGGCAGAGCTGGCAGGGCTGAATGGCCTGAGACCAGGTCCAAAACTGGCTACTCCCCCTGCAGCAGCGCAGAGCCCGGCAGGGATCAGCCTGGGAGGAGAGCCTGGCAGAGCCTTGATGTGACTTCGGACAGGGAAGCCTGGGCTGGAGCAGCGCTGCCTGCCTTTTGTCTGCTGGATCAGGGAGGCTTCCCCTAAGAAGAACTGGCTTCTTGGCTCTGCAGTCAGTGCTCCAGAGGTCCCAGCCCAGCAGCCGGGGATGCTCTGCCTGCAGAAGGTGATCCTGCCCTCACTGATCCTCTCTGCAGCCATGTGTGCTCGGGTCTGGTTTCAGAGGGACCGAGGGCTCCTGACTCTACAGCCAGGGCCACCTCCTGGGGAATGAGCCCTCTGCACTCAGGAATCTCGTAATATTTGGTTTTCCACCTCATCCTTAGATTATTTTTGAAGTCTCCTTTTGTCCTGGGAGCACAACGTGCAGCCACGGTCGCTCACTCATAATGCACGGGTCAGCAGGGTTATCTCTGAATTATTAGGAGTGTCATGAGACATGCTCTTTGAATTTCCTGTTTTGTCTTTTTCTGCCATTATTAAAAGGACACATGAACCGAAGAGCTGGAGAGCTCCCAGTCAGGCAAATGGAGTATAAAAGTAATGATGCAGCGTGGTAAAGCTGACAGGATCCTGGGCTCTTGGGTGCCGCGTTGGCCTCGGTGGGGCAGCGCCTGCCGCTGTCGCGTGAAGCATGGGGCGATCTGGGAGCCTTCCCTGAGCGCTCCTGAGTCAGATTGGGTTGCTTCTCTGCAACCCAAATTTCTAGACTTTCTGGTGCTCGGCTTGGTACAGTTGCACTCTCTCTAGTGTCTTTAAGTCTAAATTATATAGTGTTTTGACATTTTTCTTCTGATATCACTGTGGATTAGAGAGGAAGAGCCGAGGAGGAAGATGGATGGGGGACTGCCAGTCAAAGGCAGTTCATCAGTGCCCACCTACCCTGTGCTATCTATTAACATGTAGCAGGTTGTGTCTCAGCTCGTGCTCTTGGTGCCATCTCTTCCAGCTCGGTCTCGGAGCTCCCGAAGGTTAGGTGGGAGCCTGGGGTTTGATTTCTTTGTGCCCTTGTGACTGTAGGGGTTACCAACCTCAAAATCGAGGTGATTGGCAAAGGTCAGTGGTTGTGGGTTTGTTGCTTTGTTGTTCGCTTTGTTTTAATCCTGACCCTTTTAACTCGCTTTCATGGCTTCGTACGACCTGTTCTTGTTTTGTGGCCCAGGGCTTAGCACAGCAAAATGCAGCACCGGCATTTCGTATCGCCTCCCGATTTTGCAGTGCCCGGGTGCTGGTGAGTTCAGAATTGGTGCTGGGTTGTATCACACTCCTGGCACTGTCAGCAGCGTGCCTGGCTTTTTCTTAATGGGTAAAACACATGATACCCAAGGAGGCAATCCCTGCAAATTACCCCCCCAGCCTGGTGCCCCGCAGCCCCCCCGCAGTGAGCTCGGCCGGGAGGGGCAGGATCCGGCCAAGAGCCCCACCAAGCGGTGGCAGCTCCTGCTGCAGCCCCGGGGGGGTTACCGGAGGTGAAAAAGCAGCATCTCTTAGTCCCAGGGATGGTGGGCTCTGGGCTGGGTGGGAGATGCAGGCCAGGATGCTCCAGCCTGCACCTGGACCAGCTCCGGGCACGCAGCCCCTGACCCTTTTAGCGCCGTCTGCCCCAAGCGCAGAGGCTCCGACAGGCAGAGCTCTCCTCTCACCTGTGTCCAGGAGGGCCAGGGAGGACGTTTTGCATCTCCGAGTGAGCGAAGGTGCTGCTTGTCTCCTTCAGCTTCTGAAGGCTTCCACACAGATCTCTGCATCTGAGCGAATCGCCTGCACGCCTTGGCAGCAGCGAGAAGTGGGCACATGCATCCCCTCCTGAAGGATGCGACTAAAACCAGCCCAGGGGAGTCACTCTCCCTTGAAGGACGTGTTCCTGCGACCCGCTCAGACGCTAAAGCCAACACTGGCACGGCTGAGGTTGGGTGAAATGAGTCCTGTTCTCTCTCTCCCCCAGAGCTAGATTTCTGCAATAAGCAGCCGGCAGGGAGGAGGAAACACCATCGGGCTGTTTCCCCACCTGCCCCGTTCCCCAGCTCCTGCCACCCCATGCCAAGTCTCTGGGTACCCTGGGTCCCTGCAGGGTCCGCAGCGGGCTGAGGCTGGGAGCAGCTGCTGGGGCAGCACAGGCACGGAGGTGAGGAGAGTCCTGGGGCTGCTCTGACAATTCCTCTTGTGGTTTTAAATCTGCCATGACAACAGCCTTTTTGTTGTTGTTGTTGCAGGATTACCTGCAGGGTAGGCAAGCAGGGTGGACACCACACACAAAGCCTGCCCTAATCCTGGCTTATAACATTGAGCTTTCTTGCTCGTTTCCCACACTTCCACACACTGAGGCAGTAAGAAAAGCCGTGCAGTAACCTCAGAATTCACAGGCTGTTCTGTGCCGTAACCTGTGTGCTTCATACACCACAGAGGAGGAAGCCGGGCAGCTTTTTTAGGAAGGGCTGGGGGGTTCATGCAAGATGATGGAACTCCCAAGAGGGAGCCAACAGCTGAATTGCAGTTTCTTTCAACCTCTTGCCATCCAGCGTGAGACCATTGTCCCCCCACCACTAGACTGGAAAAATCAGAGGCAATTACACACTTTGCAGGCAGGGATCAGAGCAGTGCTCAGCGGATGTCATCGTGCTGCTGAATGCACAGGAATGAGGTGCAGGGCGCCGAGCTCTGCCCTGGCAACAGAACAGACTCATGTTCAGTGGACTTGACCACTAAAACCCAAACCAAGTGCCACGGAGAGGAGTGAGCCCCACAGCTTGTGTGTCTGTAACATGCTGGGGCACACCCTATCCCCGACTCTAGGATGCTCTGCAGAGGTTCGTACCTGGACCCAGCGCCTCAACCCCCTCCCGTCTCAACTCCCCCCTGCCAGCAGTTTAGCTCAAGCTGACGAACATTTGTCCCAGCACTCACTGGGGATGCGGTTCCTGGGATCTTTTCCTCTCCCTTCTCATTCCTGGTACTTTTCTACTCACTTTTATTTTTTTCTCTCCTTCCTTTGGCTTCTCCTCTGCAAGTTTATCATACTGGTGTTGAGTTTGGTGGCTGAGAAACAAGAAGTGCTGAATCTCTGAGGGCACCAGAAGTTTGATTTTGTTGTGATCCCTTCTCCTTGCGCAGAGCAAACTGCCTTCAGACAGAGAATCCCACAGCCTGAGGATGCTGGCAGTCTCTGCAGCACCAGGACCTGTGCTGTTGGGATGCTCTGTCCCAGAAGTCAGGGGCTGTGGCCTCACAGGCTGCTCCGGCTTTGCACAACAAAGTTAAACCTGAGTGCAGCCACCAGAAAGGCAGGAACTCCACCTTTCTCTGGGATATTTTCCTCATGGACCAAAACTTTGAGGGTGATTTGCTTCTCGTGACATTCAAAGCCTTGCTGATGCTCAGACAGGGCCATGGGTTATAGCAGTGGTGGTGATTTCCACCACAGAGGTGTCCTGCACCCTCTGGGCAGGTCCTTGTGGCACAGTTTGTGGTGAGATTGAGCCACCCTTTCAGTGCTGAGCCCCAAGATCTGAGTTTCTCTTTGCTTTTGTCCTGCAGTCCCACCCGCTGTCCCTGTGCAACACCAGTGAGGATGAACACACTGAATCGGGATTCATCACCATTGTCAAGCTCGAACAGCCAGACCGAGATCCCAACCCCTGCCTGTCGCTGGCTAACAAGGTAGGTGCAAAAATGCCCCCAGTGGCACCAACCTGGGCAGTGAAACCCATGGTACAGGAAAAAGTGAGAGCAGGAAGAGACAGCAAGGTAGGAAGGAGCTTTTGGAAGATGGAGAAAAGAACCAGAATAAAGCAGTGTCTTTGGTAGAAGAGGTCCTTTGGGAGAAGCACTGTACCAGCCATCCCAAATACCCATCCCTCCTTATTTTTTGGACTGCCTGGCTTTGTAAAGGTGTGGAGTTTTCTCTAACCTGACTGCTCAGGGGCAGTTCAGACCTTTCCCCAGCATCTCATATGCTTTACTGCCTCACAGCCTTGTGCCTTGCAGCCCCCCCTCGCTTGCTGGAGGGGATTTGTGTTTCCCTGTGCCCTCCATCCTGTGGGAAAAAACAGGCACAGAAAACATCTTCTGTGGTCCTGTCTTTAAAAATATTACTGTAATCTTCACTGGATGAGGCACATGAAGAATCAGCGCTGTGCAAACCAGACAAACTAGTGGCGGGACACAACCCTTTAGCAGCGTGGCCACCATCTGCCCTCCAAAGGGATGGGAGAGCTCAGAGGTCTTCAGACCAGGTTTCCTGTGAAAGAGGTACCTCGGTGAAACAGCAGTCACCGTATCAAAAGCTGAGGTCACTGCTACAATTCTCCTGTAATAAGGAAGTCAGGTGGGAACGAGGGTCATTTCAAGCCTTAACATCTTTGTGTCTCTGATAAAGTTGCATGGATAAGGCTAACATGAGCTTTTGCTTTAGTGGTTCGCTGCGTCGTTTTATTGTCTCTGTACTAAATGTTATGTTGTTTTCCACAAGCACTGTACAAAAAACCCCAACTGTTTAGCTCTTCTTGGCTTTATCTGGATTGCATTCAGGTGATGCTGCCCCTGTTGTCTGCTTTCCGCTGGTAGGGACATAGTGGGGGTGAAGCCAGGGTCCTCTGTGCAGCTCGGCTGAACAGGGCAGGCGAAACTTTTACCAAGCAGTTGTTCCTGCACGGCAGCTGTTTGGGGTTTTTTGGGTTTTTTTTTTTGGTTGTTTTTATTTTTTTTCGTAGAGGCCATGGCAACAAAAGCAAGGAAAGGGATGTGATGCTGTGATGGCTTTGCCACCTCAGAGCCGGTTGCCCCCAGCTGCATGGGCAGCTGGGCAGTAACGCTTATCCCTTTCTGTACTGGGGGAGAACCCTGAGTTTGGGTTGGTGCTCTGGAGCTGGTGCCAGCTGTTAGCACCAGGCAGTGTGCTACAGTTATTGACCTGCTATTGGTTACCCCGCATCTGCAAAAGGCCTTGGGTCCCACCGCTGATGTACGAGGATGGTGGGATAAAGAGTGAACCCAGGGGCTTCCAGTACAGCTTGTGACAGATGTGAGAGTGAGGGCTCTGCGGGTGCCTTGGGGAGCACAGCTGGGTTCCCCAGCTGCCCCATGTCTGTCCAGATGTGACCATTGCATTATAGCGGTCCCAGGATGCTGGGGGCGGGGGCAGCAGTGGCTCGTTTGGTCCTTGCAGCTGCTGTGGAAGGTCTTGAACAGGAGAAACAAGCAGCTCCAAAGGCTTATCTTTGACTTAAGAACCTGAAAGGTTTAAAAAACATTTTGCCAATTTTGTCCTTGATCTTTGAGTCTGATCACAGTACTGGGAGTACTGGTGTGTTACTGAGTCCGGGGATCGGCTGAGGAGGGTCTGCACAGGGAGGACAAGACATGGTGTGTTGCTGCACTGTGGTCATCCTCCCTGGCCTTCATCCCTTCTCTAGGACCACTGACCCCTCCAAAGCAAAGAAACTCCTGGGTTGTTTGTCTCTCTCTTCATCCTCCTAAAGCCTCTGCCAGGCTCCTTCCCTCCAACATGATACATATCTCTTGCTCAAAATCCCTGGATGTGCTTCACCTCAAAGAGCAGGGATGTAGCTGTGGGATGTGGATGATGCTAGGAGCCTTGTTTTCCTGGCATGTGTTTCTTGTGGTAGAGATTTACATGTTGAATTGCAGTGCTATATCAATGACGATAAAAATAGCCATGTGCAGTGTTATCATAACCTCTGCTTCAGCTGTCACCCAGCCAAGCAGTGCACACAGACAACCCTGTACAGCCCAGCACGAGGATGGCTCCACCAGCCACCTGATGCACTTTTCTGCTTCTTCTCTCTTAAATTTTAGCACTGCTTCAGCATCCGAAGCTGAAACCAATAGGAAAGGTGTTTGGTATGCAAGCAGAGAGGAAGGCATGGAAAATGCCTCGCTCTGGAATCAACTCAAAGTGATTTATTATTTTATTTCTGATGTATCATTTGTAACTTTTTGGTGCATTTATTTTTTTCTGAATGAACCATTGACTGCAGGTCTTGTTGAAACCTCCTGAAACATCCTGTAAATGCCTATTTGCACTAAAAAGCGTTTCAGTCCTCAAAGAGGGAGGTCAGCTGTGCCGTGTGGCTGAAGAGTCGCAAAGATAGCAGGCGCTCAGGAAACGATTGCAGCAAGCAGGCTGTGAATAGCTTCAACAAAAGTTGTGTCCTTTACAAAAGGTGTCAGGAAGAAGAGTCACTTGTCCAGTCTCAGTTGTGTCTTTAGCAGAGTAAAATCTTTGTAGGGCTGTTCACTGTTCATCAAATCTCGACTGGCTCCAGTGAGTGGAAGTCACTGCCTGAATGTCCTGTTTCTTCTGGCAAATGCTGAGGCTCCTTTGATCCCAGGCAGAACCCCAGTCTCTGATCCCTTCCCTGAGCCTCTGATCCCACTTTTCCATCTGGTACCAACCCGAGAGTGTCAAATCCTATCAGCAAGTCGGAGCCTTCAGCCCTGCCCCTGTGGTTTTCCCAACCATCCACACCTCCATTCACATCCTCACCCCTCTCCCTAGACCCAGGCACCCACCTCTGGCACCCAGCTTCTCCCCAGCACGGTGCGTGGAGGTGACCAGCACCTGCAAGCGAGTGATGGAGCCGAACCTGCTTGGCCACTGCTCGCTGCTCTGGGAATGCCCCTTCCTTTGGCTCGGCCGGCGCCTTGCATTTGATATTGCAGCTGGGAAGCGGAGGCGCTGACCTCTGGCCCCTGCGCTGGGGTTTGGCAATGCGGAGGGTAAACTGCTGCAGCAGCTCCAGCAGCTCCCTGTTTGCACAGGGCTCAGGACGCGCAGATCAAAGGGTTCCGCGTGAGTAACAGCGGCCCAGCCCTGCACTTTGTTCACGTTCTCGTCTCCCTTTCACAAGAGGCTGCCTCTGCCTGCCTGGAGGGCTCGAAGGGCTGGGTGGGAGGACGTGAGTGACCCCGCGAGGTACTCCAGGCAGTGTGCTTTGACCTCACCAGGGTGGCACGTATACTCTTTTGGGTGGGTCTCAAATCTCTCCTCCTCAGACCGTGGCAACTGGTGGGCTATGAGAAGCCATCCCCACTCCTAAACCTAGACCCGGGCATCACCTGAGCTTCTCCCTTGTAACTCGGGGGGTCAGGGACCAGGGGGAGCAATGTCTGTGGGAGCCAGGTCCATAGAGAGCCCACAGATGGCGCAGCCACAGTGGAGAAGTGGGGACCTGCAGAGGTTTCTGCTGTCCTGGGATGGGAAGGTTGTGTGGAGGTCAGCAGGGCTAATGGGGCTGCAGATCCCTCCCCAGCAAATCCAGGCCTGAAGCAAAGGGGCACACTGCACAGATGGCCAGGGAATTGGTGTTTAGGTTTATGGGTTGCTGTGACTGCAAGCCCACCAACTAATTCGCCTCCACAACTATAGGGAAAAACCATCCATGAACCGCAGAGCTCTAGCAGGAGCAGGCACTGCAGCTCAACACAAGTACAGAAACCGAAGTGTAAACTATTTTCTCAGTCTAAGTAGCACGTGCTTCTTTGTCCTGTGAAGAGCCAGGAAGGCAGATACACATCCAGATGGTACATGGTAATACAGATGTGCAATACAAAATGCCTACTGAAGCTTCTGTTCTTTTGCACAGGCAAAGCTGGCGGGGGAACGTGGAGCCCGTGCGATCCTTTTTGACATTACTGATGATGAAAGTGCTGCTGATCAGGTACAAACCTCAGTGTGGGGGAGCAGTCAGTTCCTAAAATGTGTGCGAGGTGCATCGGGAGGAACCAGACGTGCCTGGGGGGCTGGGATAGTCCTCGTTTCAGGCTGTTCTGGATTGTCTCTCACTGGGTTTGTTTCTTTCCAGTTGAGAAAGCCCAGAGGTCTGAGTCAGCCCGTGGTTCTCATCAGGGGCCACGATGCTGAACTTCTCATGGGTGTCGTGAACAAGAACAGAGAGGCCCACGTGAAGATAGAGGTCAAGGAGCCACCAGCTTGGGTGAGAGACACACCATTCCCACTGCCTTCTGTATCCTCCCTCCCAAGCCATGTCATGCAATAGGACTTTCCCAGAGACGCTGAGTTGTGCTCCCCAGGGATGGAGATCACAGCCCTTTGCAGGAGCTGCCTGCCTGCAGCAGTCAGGTGGCATGTCGCAAATAAAGGATCAAAAGCACTTTCAGCTTATTTAAGTTTCTTTTGCATAAACATCACAAGTGAGGTGAAGGAATTCCCTGTCTCTTCAGGTGAGACCAAGCCTTATCTTGGGCTACCTTAGACCATGGCCTCTAGGGACCTGAGATGCTGCAAAATAGAAAAATCCCATTCCTTCTAGAATATGCAGAAAAGACTGAGCCCTTTTTCTTTTGCCTATAAAGACCAAGGAGATAGAGCTTGGCCAAAGCTCATGCATTACAAAGCTGATGGTCAAGAAAAGATCAGAATTCCCCTGTCTAACCTCTAAGTCCCTCCCCTGCTACACAAGAGCAATTTCTGTCATGTTTTACCCAACAGCCAGACTACGACGTGTGGATTCTTCTCACGGTGGTCAGCACTGTGGTCGTCATCATTTTGATTTTTGTTGTCCGCACGAAGTGTCAGCTGAACAGGACGCAGGTAGGAACCTCACAGAGCCAGGTGTGTCTGAGCAAACCGAAACATGCGAAGGGCAGGAACGGACACAGTTCGGGAGAGAAAAATGTGCCTCTGTGTGAACTGAAGGTGCGGCCACGTGAGGCAGGAGCGGCCCAGGGATGAGTGAGGTGATTCTGGGATGGGCTGGCCGTGTCCCTCTGTGGTGACCTTGCTCCCCTCCTGCCCCCCCACCAGCACTGCAGCCCCAGCACCTTTCAGAGCTTGTCCCAGCGCCCAGAGCTGCAGAGCTGGCCCACGAGCTCTTGATTTTAGCAGTGTTGTCTGTATTTGTAGAGAGTAGAACATTTTTAACAGAAACTAACAAATTAAACAATCACCTTTCCAGAGTCAGGTGTATTTCCAGCTTTGAGAATACCCCATTTGTTCTATAGAAAGACAGGCCTCTGGGCCTCAAAAATTCAGTACAGCTGAGTGGTTTTGAATGTCCAGTGCCAGATGTCTCCTGCTGGTGATAAAGCCTACTCTGGCTAATTCAGGTTAGGTAAGAAGTCACCTCTGGAAATGAGTATCACCCCTAAATTCCTGATAATCCCATTCTGAAAATGGAAGGGCAGTGAGAATTGTGGCAATGTAAGGCTGAGCTTCTTTTTAAAGATTCCTTTCTTCCTGGCAGGACTCCTTGCAGCAGCAGACCATGCAGGCCATCGGGCAACTGGCCACGCGCAAGTACCAGGCAAGGTGCCGGCAGGCGTCGCGGTGGGACTCGGCCAGCAGCTGCAGCTCAGCCCCGGTCTGTGCCATTTGCCTGGAGGAGTTCAGCGAGGGCCAGGTAGGCTGTGGCCACAGCTGCTGGTTTAGCCACGGCTCTCCCCCGCCGCAGTCAGGTGGGAGCTATAGCGGGAACTGAGCAGTCTGGCAGGGGCGGGAGGTCCTTGGGATGTTTCCTTCTGCAACTCCTGAGGACTAGGAAAGGAGCAGCAGTGATGGAGGACTGGCTGCCCCTTGGCCAAAAAAGCCCTGCCCCTGCTGAAGTCACTTGCCTGCAAATTCAGATTCCCTGAAGACCGGTCTCCAGCTGTTGCTGTAGGGTAAAATGTCCATGATATGTTCATGTTGAAACAACGGGGCAAAAATGGGGTTTGCTTCTTCAAAGCACTCAGCCTAAACATCCCCCAGTTACCTCTCTGAACTTTCACACCCCAAAGCTGGACACAGGGAGCAGAACCAGAGCTGGCAGGTGGTTGCTCAGCCTCCCCTGTGCAAAGCTGGGCTGCAGATCACTTGCCATTAGACGTCTTTCCATCCTGCAAGACTCTCTTCCATCAGGAAGGACCCATGCAGATCTTGGGACATGGTTCTCCTTGCTCACACTCCTCCTCTTTTCTCCACCTCTCTCTAGGAACTGCGGATCATCTCGTGCTCCCATGAATTTCACCGGGAGTGTGTTGACCCGTGGCTGCAGCAACACCACACGTGTCCGCTTTGCATGTTCAATATTCTTGGTAGGGCTCAGACCCAGAATTTCCCAGCCAGGGACGAGTTTGGGTGCAGGGGTTGTGCTCAGGAGGTCCACATACCCTCAGGCGCATGTGTGTGTCTGTGCACATGGGTGTACAGGATGGTGTGTGGGTCCCTGTGAGCCCCTGCAATGTACAGCAAGGTGCTGGGCTTGGACTGGGACCTGCCCCATGAGGAGGAGTTTCCAGTCCTGGGACCTGCAGGGAAGGGAGGTGGAATCTGAGGGTCGGAGCAGCAGGGAGCGTGCTGGGTGTGCAGAACCATCAAGACGGTTTGGTGGTGGCAGTTAGGAGTTGCGGGGTACAGGTGGGACGTGGGACTGGAGTGGGAATGCAGTGGGGGCTTGCCAGTGCTGGGGCTACTGCAGCTGGGCTGTGGGATGGATGCTGGATGCTCCCTTTTCTCTCCACAGCCAGAGACTCGATGGACCAGGCCACAACTGCTGGCTCCAGGCTGGCCCCTCGGGACATGGAACCCGGACGGCGACTCCACCTTTTCCGTCAGCACCCGGGACATGCCCTTTACCACCTCCCACACCCGTATCCTCAGAGGAACCTGAGAAGATTTCCCCCAGAGCCAGCCCACGGCACCCCCTTCTTCC